TAATTATTGAATTATTGTTTTATTATTTATTCAAAATAATTCCTAGTTTAAAAACAAGCTATGCAGTTCTTGCTATATTTTTGGCCTATAGTTCGCCTATTTTTTCCTCATGAAATCAGCGTGCAAAGAAACTATCGTCCGATAGCCCGGGGCTAGTGGATTTTGCTATCGGGCTGGTGAATTCTGTTCTTAACTTGCCCAATGGGCAAGTGAAGTTTTTTTGAGGAATTCAAATTACAGAAGAACTGTGAAATCACTATTCTGCTCATCAAAATGTTTTTGGGTTAGTTGAAATGACGTTTGGGCTAATATATGCTAGCTTCAGCTTGCCCGAATGGCAAGCTTTAAAAATGACTTTCTTTGCACCCTGGTAATGTTCCACTAACATGAAATGTTCCGCTATCTTGTATTCACTACCAAAACAATCCAACCTCGTCCCCAGGTCTTCTCGGTTAACTGTTCAATAATCTGGCAATTTGCTACACAACTGACGTCATGCCTGGTATTTAGCCAATCAGAAATGTTTTGAATGAATAATAATTCTGATTATCATGATTATTTCCTTCTTCCAATCTCATTCTATTTGATTTGCTAAAAAAGAGAAAGTTAGTTTTAATAAATTGTACAAAAACATGGGTTGTGACTTCTTGCAACTTGACTATAATCATGATACGATACCTCTGCCAGATACTTTCTGTACTCCTCTTTTCTCTCTTGCCGTAACTTTTGCTGATGCTCTTCATAACCACCTAAATTAAGTCCACCAAGATTACTGTCATCTTCAACAGGAGCTGCATAAAAACAGACCCACAAGTACATCAGATTATGATACATCCTAGAAATCCTCTCTAGGAAAAAACTAACCAATGACTAATAATATAAGTGAAGGATAAACTCTAATTTAGTTTCTGAATAGTAACACCAAATAAAGTTTTATAAAGTATAAATTATTATTTAAGTAATGCAATAGTGAACGTAGTTTTGGCATCATCAAATTTAGACTCCTCTCTCCCTACAAGACTCAGACAAAAAAATGAACACATAAATGCTGTACAGGTCAAAATTAAATTTAGGTAAAACTTTTTTAACCTGTGTTGATTCTCAATTTTCTTTGTCCCCTAGCCCTTATTCATGAATGATAGTTAATATTATTATTATGGCTAGGAGACAGGATATTGCTTTGTGAGGAAGTACACTAAGGTACAGTATTGCAGTAAAAAAATCCCTCATTTAGTCTTTTGCACTAAACAGCTTAACTGTTTATTTTAATAAATACCAGGGTCTTTGAAGCTCTAAATTAGTTTTCTTCTATACCAAACATCACTCATTTAGCCACCAAGATTTAACAAAAAAGACAGCTGACTAAGCACTCACCAACTGGACAATGAGTGTAAGAATTTATATATAACAACTATGAGAAGAACTGTGTGAGACTGATCTGTTCATATAAAAATTTAAAAAAGATGCGGATGGATTACGCCACAGAAAATAACAGTAAGTCATCTGACATTACAGTACCTTTAGCTTTGATCCTGGTCTCGGGTCCTGGAGGAGACCCTTCATGAATATGCCTAGACAAATACAAACAGAATATTACAAAGTTAAATGATTGCTTGTATCTCTACTTCACTTAAACTAGCAATAAACATACAATGCAAATTTTTGAATTGTTTACTAACTTCAGAACTCTTGCTAAGATCTGGGTATAATATTATTATTATGAAATCGGTAGGCAGGGAATTGAACAGCTAGGAAGTCCCTTTGGTTGTACTGTCCTTTTTTTCCCCTTAAAAGTAGCTGGGTGTTATGCTCACAGTAGCATTGGGAAATCCCTGGCCTCTGCCCCTTAGTAACGGCCTTGTTTTAAAGTCCCTAAATTTGTTGATCAGGCCCAGTTGTTCAAAGGTGGATAATGCTATCCACTGGATAAATCACTATTCACTGGATAGAGCATTATTGACTTCCCTAACACTTATCCGTTGGATAGTACTTTATCCGGTGGATAGTGCTATCCAAGTTTTGAACAACTGGGGCCTGATCAACAAATTTAGGGACTTTAAAACTAGGCCGTTACTAAGGGGCGGAGGCCAGGGATTTCCCTGTGCTACTACGAGCATAGACCCCGGCTACTTTCAGAGGAAACAAAAGGGCAGTACGACCAAAGGGACTTCCTAACTGTTCAATTCCCTGCATACCAATTTCATAATAATTATACCCAGATCTTAACAAGAGTCCTGGTAAAAGGACTTGCTCTCAAAAGATTCATACTCTCTTAATATTCTAAAAAATTCAGAATTTTTTAAAAGGTAACTTTCCATCACTTATCTAGCCTGTTCCAGGTTCCGATATAGTGGTGAAAAGTTGTTCAGTAAAAAGAAATGCAAAAAACGTGCAGGGGCTGGGGAGAGACAGGGCGGCGGAGCCTGTGCGCATTTTTTTAACGGCCTGTTCCAGTATATCAGCTCCTGATATACCCTCTGAATGGTCAATTCTGACAGTTAACATCATCACCTAGTAGCGTGGTCATCAGTATGTCATCACCACGATGGCCAACGCGAATCGTGCGTGTGACCTTGATGAATCTGCGTTGTCTTGTGCTTTGGACGAATGTTAACCTGAGATCAGGCGTTATTTTTTTTTTGGCATGATCTCAGGCTAGATGAGTGTCTGCGACTTGGCTCGCGGTAAAGATGTTTTCGCTATTATGCCCACCGGTTTCGGCAAAAGTTTAATCTTTCAGCTATTCCCACGCTTGGCTTAAGTTGCTCTAACCTTAGAAAACTCTACGATAATAGTCGTTTCGCCGCTGATATCTATAATGCGAGACCAAGTGGAACACTGAATTTAAAAAGCTTGGACTTTCGGCCACAGCTATTGGCATCGGTGAAGAGGGAGAGGAGGACGAGAAGAAAGCGAGAGAAGGAAAGTGTGAAATTGTTTTCGATAGTCCAGAGTCCTGGCTGATCACAAAGTGGCAATAACAAAACAGTCCAAAGACGTCCGCACTTTACTATCTGAGAGCCTGGCACAGGCTATCACTTATCCAGCTTAATTTAACATAATTTGAATAATTATAATATGTATAACATTTCACTAAGGTAATATTACCGGTTATCAGGTTTATATCCTCTTGGGCTTGTCCTGCTGCGGTCCTGATGGCAATAATCAAAAGTTTAAAATCAGGGATATCCAAGTATAACACACAAATTTACTTTATCTTTCATGGACAATGTCAAACTTTGAATTATTGGAAATATTTTGAGTAACTTTTTAGGGCCTCTTTCAGTATGAAAAGCAAGTAGTGTCCAATAGCATAGCGATCATAGATTTTGTTATTGGGCTAATGAATTCTATTCTTAACTTGCCCACCAGGCAAGTGAAGTCTTCTGGGGAATTCAAATTACAGAAGTACTGTACTCAATCCTGCTCATTGGGCTAGTAGGCGCTAGCTACTGCATACCCGAATGGCAATCTGTGAAACTGAATAAACGATAAAAAAGAACTGATTATCACATAAAATTTATAAAACTACTTTTTCAGTTTGTATTTGAACATAAACAAGGTTTCAAACTCTAGGATCAAAAACTACTTTTATAGCATACAAGCATTCAATTTCATCTTGGAATCTTTTCCATGTGAGAGAGCTTGAAATTTTGTCACATGCTTTATACTATGGCTCACATCACAAAAAATCCTGGCAGACCACAGGGACCGTGTGGTCTGCCAGGATTTTTTGTGATGTGAGCCATAGTATAAAGCATGTGACAAAATTTCAAGCTCTATCACATGGAAAAGATTCCAAGATGAAATTGAATGCTTGTATGCTATAAAAGTAGTTTTTGATCCTAGAGTTTGAAACCTTGTTTATGTTCAAATACAAACTGAAAATCAGCTCATAACCGGTATCATGGTTCATCCCAGTTGAATGATTTTGACGGCCTCCCTGACTATAAAAAATTACAAAACCTTGTTTATGTTCTAAATGGAAGTCAGACTCAGAGTTTTCAAATGATTCTCATACTGTGCATCTGATAATGGCATTCCTCATCAAATAACTTTCTGAATTTTCTCCACTCACTTTAATTTCTAGTATGGATATACATGTACATGAAATTTGCTTGTCTTCCCAGATAGTGTGATACCCCTCAAGAGAATTGTTTTGATTGTACTTCTAAAATCTAGGGGTAAGAACCTGTGAACTTTTTCTTTGTTTCGCAGCTTTTATTTTCCTAGGTTCTATTGTGTCGACTTCTTTGTTTCCTTTGTTTTATGTCACTCGTGAGTTTTACAGGTTCTTACACCGAGGCGATCTTAGAGGGACCAACAAAAAGAACAAGGAAAAAAGTTTTCCCGCCTCCAAAAACGAGAAGGCAGCTGAGTTAGAATAATCACATGCAAAGTAATCTCACCTCACTTTCTTGTGCACGCAATATTTCTGCTCTTTCTTTTTCCAATTTTCTTTTCTGTGACTCAATAAAACTTGCTAGATCGTCCGCCATTGTATAGAATTGTTTATAAGGCCAGCAATCGGACGGAAAATAACGATGAATATGAGACGTTCAATAATATGATGTTGCCAAGTGGACACAATGGTTCGAGCAGGCCTTTCGCACTTTATATTGCATCCCCGAAATGATACTGATAAATCTCCAGACCTCCAATAACCAAATATCCAAACATTTGCTGTAGATTAGCGTAAGAAACCACTTTCAAAACTTGTCAGCAAAATAACATTCCAAAATTGTTTTGGGTGATCCGCCATGTTTTTGGTAACCAATACCCATAACGCTCTTTGGTACATGAAAAAAGCTTATTTTTGATTGGTTAGGGCTAAGTGAGACTCAACCCAATCAAAAACGATTTTGCATTTTGCAGTTGTGAGAGTCTCGTGATTGTTTTCTATGCCATCCGGCGGCTTATCCGGCCGGGTCACGAGACATTGTATTGAAAGGAGTACTTTTCCGAGTTGAAATTCATTGTGCGAACAACAGGCATTTGAGATGGATTTCTACAAGGATAAAGCCAAGCTAATTGATAAGCTCCTGGAGGAAGGTCCTACTTCCACAGAAGAGAAGGACGAAGCTCTGGTGACTTTAAAACGAGAACGTCATACGCACAGCAAGTTTTTTGCCTGCCATGTTGTTGTTTTGGTACTTGTGCTGGTACTGGGAATGTGTTTGTTTGCGCGTGTAGCCTACTATGGTTTTCGAACCACGGAATATGATCAGCAGTCACTGAGCGGAGGTTTGTTTATCCTTATATTGGGCCATTCCATTTATTGTCCGCCTCCCCTTTATTGAATACTCAGAGATGCCAATCAACCCCGCCATCACTACCAAAATTTTCCCTTTTATCTCGAAATCCCGAACGTTTTCATCGGCCAAATCCCGATCCTGGTCACATCATTTACCATGGTCCACCTTATCAGTACCCTGCTAGCAGAGTCGCTTCGATCTTTCCTAAATGAGTCGGGAAAGAGGAAGCGACTCTGCCGACATCTTCAAGTTCCTTTGATCTGTAGCCTTCCACGCAGACGTTCTTAGAGGTTCGTCACGCGTTCCTGCCCCACGAACGTCTGCTGAATCGAAAGATAAATTCCTTTCCCATTGTTCGCAAATATCAGCTGGTGATCACATGCAGATTATCGGAGATTCAATCGGCACTGTTGAAGTCAAAGTGTTGACAAGCCAAACACATACGTACAAGCTCCGTAGAGTGTGATGCGTGACCAAAGATTTTTGCTCCGAACGAAAATCTAGATAAGATTTTCAGGCCAATGTTACATGGTTTTTGTCCTTTTTCCCCGGTGTCCTTGACTGAATTGTGCTCATTCTGGTATGGTTTGAAAGATCTCTTCACTCTGCAGAAGTTAGCGGACAAAATTGCCCCTGACCGTTGAAACTGATGACGTCACAAACGGTAGAAAGGACGTGGATCCGCACGGGCGGCTCAGGGGCAAATGGGTTAAGCCATAGGAGCTCATAGGGACTGTTATTCACTGATTTACATACATACATACTTTATTTGTCATGTAGGTCAGTGAAAAAAGGCAGCTAAAGAGCTGATGTGGACCTACAAACTAAAAAGTATCTACAAAAAAGTAACTAATAATATTAACAAACCAATGAATTATTTNAAAAATATGAATTGTACTGAGAAAATTTGAGGACGTTAAAAAAAAAATTACATGCAGCTACATGCACTAGAACCACTTTTTAAGATTGTCTATACATTTGTCTGTTAAAATTTTTCTTCCTGTCAACTAAAATTTCCCGGGAAAATTGCAGACAAAATTAATATGTGGAAAATCTAAAGCAATAGTTTGGAGAAATTTATGCACAGGTACGGCCCAAAAAATTTCTTTGTAGAATCCTTTGCTGTGTAGCGTTAGTTTACAATTCATAATGTTTCCAGAACAGCCTTTCTACAGAAATTATTTGACGTTAGATTCTCGTACAAACACTGTGATATCTCACGCGCTTGCCTACTCATCAAGATGGCTTCCAAAACCATGACAAAGTCTATATGTAATAACACCTTTTTTATCATTGAATGTTTATCAATGTTTTAAACATCATGCATTAACTGAAGGACTCTAATGTTTCATTCTTTCTTGTCTCTTAAAACTTAAAGCTTATTCATGTTGGCCCTGATGAGATCAAGTTTGCTCAAAATGCTTTGTTTTCAAGACATCCTGTGATGAAATCTTGGCCTAAATTTCACGGTAAGTTATCACAAAAATGTCATTCTTTCTTTATACCTGTTGCACCAAATGTCAGTTCTTAGTTATTTTATAATAAGGGTGCAAAGAAAGTCAGTTTTACAGCCTGTCAATCGTGCAAGCTATAGCTAGCATGTACTAGCCCACAAGTCATTTTAACTAGCCCCAAAACCCTTTTTGATTAGCAGGATTGATTACAATCCTTCTGTAACTTGAATTTCCCCAAAACACAGCACCTGCCTGTCAGGCAAGTTAAGAGCAAATATCACTAGCCCTATAGCAAAATCGCCTAGCCCCGGGCTATCGGACACGACCTTCTTTGCACGCTGATGATTAAGACATAGTGATGTCTTTGCTGCCATTGTCAGTGTCATTGCATAGCATCTTTGTTTTTCTTATTATACTTTTTATGTCAGTGATGCATTTACTCAGTCTAGTAACCAAGTTATCTTCTTTTTACAGATTGGCAGACACTCAAGCTTGAAATCGTCAATGTCTGGATGCAAGATATTTATGGCCCGGCTGATATCATTCCAGTGAAAGACTACCTGAAGGTCAAATTGTAGTCATAGTCATTGAATGAAGAAGGCTAAATGTAGTTTCCTTTATTACCATCCAATTAAATACCGTGAAACCCCATAATTTAATACAGAAACTGACGGGGGCCATAGAAAGGGTCTGTTTTAATGGGGTGTCTCTCTTAAGCAGGTCAAGTAGTAGGGAAACCAATAATTGTTTGGAATTGGGCTATTCAGTGGATAGAGATTTATCCAGTGGATAGTGTTATCCACCTTTTGAACAACTGAGGTTTTGTGAATTAGTGGGTCTAGGAGGTATGACTGACAAAGATGACTAATATAGAAGAGAGGTTTACTCCAGTGGCACATAGTACTAATAACTTCTGGAAGATAGTCTCCCTTGCAGTTGTTTTTGTCTGGTCACACAACCCTTATCCGCTCCTCCCCTCCTCTTCTTGTGGAGAAGCGTTGCATGACCAAACAAACATGGCTGCTTGAGAGACTAACAGGAAGAGAAACGTAAGAGACCATGGGAAATGTTTGTTGCACAGGAAAATTCTTATTGGTTAGGATTGCACTAGTTCACTGCTCAGTTTGCTCTTAAAGGAGCGGTGTCACGAAATTTATCAAAATCCAAAACATACAAACTACCACCAAATTGAGTGAAACATAAAAATAAATGCTCAGAACATTAAAGGAAGAATAAATAACTAGTCAAATACAAAAGAAGGTACAGACAAACTTGGAGAAGATTGAAACAGATGCATTGTGGGTTTTAAACATTTGTTAGCCTAAAAGGTTTTCAAAGTTCTTTTTTTGTTTTTAATGTTTGATATGATGCTTGGGAGGCATATTGTTAGGATAAGAAGCTGTGATTTTGTCATTTAGAGGTATTTTCTTCACCAACGTTAAGTTCCAAAATGCATTAGCAAAGGTATTTGGCTATATTAACAAAATGAACTAAATACTGTGACACAGCCCCTTTAGATAAAATCTTCTGAAGTGAAAATGTGAGGCCTCTATTACACGGTAAAATAATCTCAGCTTTTAATGAGAGACACTGCACCATACAGATCACCCCTAAATAGGACAAATTAACCATTACAATAACACAGAGGGCTAAAATGAAATAGTAAAACTGCTCACTCCAGAAAAATTTTGCAAGAATAGTTTCATAGTTACATACATAGTTTACATAGTTTAGCAATATATTTTTATAATTATATGATTTCCATCTGATAGGATTTCAGTAAACCATTTACTCATTTTTCTTAAAACAATAATTTGTCACTCTTTTGTCTGAAATTTTGCTTTACTAGTAGGTTTATTTTGCAAGGACCAAAACGAACACGCCTTTTACGCCTTGCCCTGCGTTACATTTGCCCAATACATAAACCGTTCGGCATCTTAACTCTGACGAACACTGTGAGTTTTGAGAGAGGACTGGGGCGAGTTTCAAAATAGAATGTATGTGAAAGGGGGAAGAAAGTATTAAAAAATCTGTTTTTACAGAATTTACATCGAGATCTCACATTTAGGATACAATGTGATAAAGAAAGCGTTTAGATAAAAATCAAAGTGAGTAAGCACAAGTTAAACATCCACTATCGAGGTTCTGAGTGAGGAAGTCGAACTCAGCAACACGCGTACTGCCTACGTTATGCACATTCCCAACACATTGAGTCTCACCTCGGCAAGAAACAACCTCAAGCAAAAATTCCAATAGCGTTTCTCTTCAGTCAACTTCATTTTAATAATGTTACTTCATATGCTCTTTTTTACGGCGGCCATCTTGTAATGCGCAGTAAGAGATGCGGAGTGCAAAACCAGGGAATCACCTTAATGTTTTAGCCTAAGCAGCAAGACTCATAATCTGCAAGCGGGTTTTTTTCTTCATATTTAGTACACAAAACGACCATTGTGGTCCCAGGCGTTCCTAGTGGAGACCGTGGAAACTGGGAATAAGAATCGTTGCATGACCGAAGCCATGCATGTTTTGCGAAGAATGTGTCTGTCCATGAATTCTGTCGGTTGAAAGCATTGATTACTTTGGAACATGTGAACACATCGGTGGTCGAAAAAAAGGAAAACTTTATTAGCAAAAGACTAACTGGTTTGGTGTTGTAAACTTTCATTGTATGCAAATAGGTCTTGTGATGAGCATGCGGTCTATTTTTGGCAATGATCGAAATGACATGCCATGTAAATCCCTTTTTTGATCTCTGGCAATGATGTAATGTCTCACCTTTAGTGAGTAAATCCTGTTTCATGTAGAATTAATCGCCTGCTCATTTCTCCATCTAATCTCCAAGCAAGTGAGACTTAAACACTGCTGTAAGAGTGTTCTTGCTGTATACATGTTCTGCTTCCAATAGACCTTGGCGCAGTTTTGGAAGCGGTCTTGATGAGTACCCAACCACATGAGAAATTACAGTGTTTGTATGAGAATCTAATGTGAAATAATTTTCGTACAACGGCTGTCCTGAAAAAATATGAATTGTACTGAGAAAATTTGAGGACGTTAAAAAAAAAATTACATGCAGCTACATGCACTAGAACCACTTTTTAAGATTGTCTATACATTTGTCTGTTAAAATTTTTCTTCCTGTCAACTAAAATTTCCCGGGAAAATTGCAGACAAAATTAATATGTGGAAAATCTAAAGCAATAGTTTGGAGAAATTTATGCACAGGTACGGCCCAAAAAATTTCTTTGTAGAATCCTTTGCTGTGTAGCGTTAGTTTACAATTCATAATGTTTCCAGAACAGCCTTTCTACAGAAATTATTTGACGTTAGATTCTCGTACAAACACTGTGATATCTCACGCGCTTGCCTACTCATCAAGATGGCTTCCAAAACCATGACAAAGTCTATATGTAATAACACCTTTTTTATCATTGAATGTTTATCAATGTTTTAAACATCATGCATTAACTGAAGGACTCTAATGTTTCATTCTTTCTTGTCTCTTAAAACTTAAAGCTTATTCATGTTGGCCCTGATGAGATCAAGTTTGCTCAAAATGCTTTGTTTTCAAGACATCCTGTGATGAAATCTTGGCCTAAATTTCACGGTAAGTTATCACAAAAATGTCATTCTTTCTTTATACCTGTTGCACCAAATGTCAGTTCTTAGTTATTTTATAATAAGGGTGCAAAGAAAGTCAGTTTTACAGCCTGTCAATCGTGCAAGCTATAGCTAGCATGTACTAGCCCACAAGTCATTTTAACTAGCCCCAAAACCCTTTTTGATTAGCAGGATTGATTACAATCCTTCTGTAACTTGAATTTCCCCAAAACACAGCACCTGCCTGTCAGGCAAGTTAAGAGCAAATATCACTAGCCCTATAGCAAAATCGCCTAGCCCCGGGCTATCGGACACGACCTTCTTTGCACGCTGATGATTAAGACATAGTGATGTCTTTGCTGCCATTGTCAGTGTCATTGCATAGCATCTTTGTTTTTCTTATTATACTTTTTATGTCAGTGATGCATTTACTCAGTCTAGTAACCAAGTTATCTTCTTTTTACAGATTGGCAGACACTCAAGCTTGAAATCGTCAATGTCTGGATGCAAGATATTTATGGCCCGGCTGATATCATTCCAGTGAAAGACTACCTGAAGGTCAAATTGTAGTCATAGTCATTGAATGAAGAAGGCTAAATGTAGTTTCCTTTATTACCATCCAATTAAATACCGTGAAACCCCATAATTTAATACAGAAACTGACGGGGGCCATAGAAAGGGTCTGTTTTAATGGGGTGTCTCTCTTAAGCAGGTCAAGTAGTAGGGAAACCAATAATTGTTTGGAATTGGGCTATTCAGTGGATAGAGATTTATCCAGTGGATAGTGTTATCCACCTTTTGAACAACTGAGGTTTTGTGAATTAGTGGGTCTAGGAGGTATGACTGACAAAGATGACTAATATAGAAGAGAGGTTTACTCCAGTGGCACATAGTACTAATAACTTCTGGAAGATAGTCTCCCTTGCAGTTGTTTTTGTCTGGTCACACAACCCTTATCCGCTCCTCCCCTCCTCTTCTTGTGGAGAAGCGTTGCATGACCAAACAAACATGGCTGCTTGAGAGACTAACAGGAAGAGAAACGTAAGAGACCATGGGAAATGTTTGTTGCACAGGAAAATTCTTATTGGTTAGGATTGCACTAGTTCACTGCTCAGTTTGCTCTTAAAGGAGCGGTGTCACGAAATTTATCAAAATCCAAAACATACAAACTACCACCAAATTGAGTGAAACATAAAAATAAATGCTCAGAACATTAAAGGAAGAATAAATAACTAGTCAAATACAAAAGAAGGTACAGACAAACTTGGAGAAGATTGAAACAGATGCATTGTGGGTTTTAAACATTTGTTAGCCTAAAAGGTTTTCAAAGTTCTTTTTTTGTTTTTAATGTTTGATATGATGCTTGGGAGGCATATTGTTAGGATAAGAAGCTGTGATTTTGTCATTTAGAGGTATTTTCTTCACCAACGTTAAGTTCCAAAATGCATTAGCAAAGGTATTTGGCTATATTAACAAAATGAACTAAATACTGTGACACAGCCCCTTTAGATAAAATCTTCTGAAGTGAAAATGTGAGGCCTCTATTACACGGTAAAATAATCTCAGCTTTTAATGAGAGACACTGCACCATACAGATCACCCCTAAATAGGACAAATTAACCATTACAATAACACAGAGGGCTAAAATGAAATAGTAAAACTGCTCACTCCAGAAAAATTTTGCAAGAATAGTTTCATAGTTACATACATAGTTTACATAGTTTAGCAATATATTTTTATAATTATATGATTTCCATCTGATAGGATTTCAGTAAACCATTTACTCATTTTTCTTAAAACAATAATTTGTCACTCTTTTGTCTGAAATTTTGCTTTACTAGTAGGTTTATTTTGCAAGGACCAAAACGAACACGCCTTTTACGCCTTGCCCTGCGTTACATTTGCCCAATACATAAACCGTTCGGCATCTTAACTCTGACGAACACTGTTAAACCAATCAGATAAAATAATGGTTTACCGTCATCTTGCCACCAAACTTTCTCACCAACAAATAACTCTGAAGTAATTGACACAGTTTAATACCTAGGATTACTTAACTAAGATTTTTGCAGTTTCACAGTCACCTGTCATTCCTTTGAAATATGACAAAGAAATGGTTGAGAGAAAATGGCTGTTCATGAAAGTTCTTTTCATTTATTATGTATACTTTGAACTTTTTAAGACAATAGAGCTAAGTTCTAGTCTTGGTAGCGATTTTGTTGGTAGCGAGGTGACCGGATATCAGATAAATACGTGAAGCAGGAAAGCAGGAAGAATTTGGTTGCTGTTTTATTTCAGAGAAGAATCGAAGATAAGAAATGTCTTCAAGCAGGTTTTGTGGCGATGGCATTCTTAATAGATTTTATTCACGTACTATAATAAGAATGTAACCAATTTGTAAATCAATTTTTGTATGTTATCAAAACCGGATAAAAATAATAAATTACTTCACAATACTTGTGTTTTCTAAAATCTGACAATTTCTTGTTAGCTACAATCATACCTTAACAAAAATATGAAAGTGGTGTTTGCAATAACAGTCCGTTTCCGCAAATTTTCTGCAAAGAAAAGGCAATAGGCGAGGAGAGAGGAATCATGGGATTATTCGATAAAGAGGACACAATTTCAACAATCTTGTACATTGATTCTAATTTACAAAAAAAAAATAGTCCCAATTTGTCAAATTTTTGATAAATTTTTATGATGGGAGGAATGAAATGATCCGAGAAATATGGACTGTATTATTCATCAATATTTCACTTTTCTAAACATTCCTGGTTCAATATTAATTTACAATCTCCTTTCTCAATAACGTCATAAATTCTTGTTGTGTGGTTGGGACCTTTGAAATAGACCATTTTACTGTTATGGGCTTAGTACCCTAGCCTTCGAGTCAATGTGAGGCTAAGGTTGACCTTGTTTTAATGCAAACCCCCTTTGTTTTCTTATGGAAATTATGCTGAAAAATACTAGTTAGCATAAGAACAACATGATTTACATAAGAAAGCAAGAAGGGTTGTGTCAAAACAAGGTCAACTCCAGCTCCGTTTCCATTTACAACTATAAAATGGTCTATTCATATACTGTAAGAGCAAATTGACTGGTTGTGTTGAAACACGTCATCAGTTGCTACTCATCAAAAGTGCCTTGAATACATTTGACACTAAGAATCTTGGGTAACAGTCCTGGTACATGATGAAATAGACGTGACATTGCGCATGGTCATAGACCGTCTGATCTGGTTCCTCCATGACTTCTTCAATCGTCTGACGCGTCTTGTGGTCTATGCTGACCTGAAATACAAGAACAAAACTGATTATCACATAAAATTTACTAAGCTACTTTTTCAGTGTATTTGAACATAAACGAGGTATCAAATGATCAAAAACTATTTTTATAGCATACAAGCATTCAATTTCATCTTGGAATCCTTTCCACGTGATAGAGCTCGAAATTTTGTCACATGATTTATATTGTGGTTCACATCACAAGACATCCTGGTAGACCACAGGGATCTCGTAACCGGTATCACGGTTCATCCCAGTTCAATGATTTTGACGCCGCCTCTTTGGCTATATATGAAACCTTGTTTATGTTCTAAATGGAAGTCATACTCAGAATTTTCAAATGATTCTCATACTGTGCATCTGATAATGGCATTCCTCATCAAATAACTTTCTGAATTTTCTCCACTCACTTTAATTTCTAGTATGGATATACATGTACATGAAATTTGCTTGTCTTCCCAGATAGTGTAATACCCTTCAAGAGAATTGTTTTGATTGTATTGCTGAAATCTTAGAACCAAAACTTTAGAGTTACATGACATGATCTTGGGGGTAAGAACCAGTGAACTTTTTCTTTGTTTTGCACCCTTTGTTTTCCTAGGTTCTATTGTGTCGACCTCTTTGTTTCCTTTGTTTTACGTCACTCGTGAGTTTTACAGGTTCTTACACCGAGGCGATCTTAGAGGGACCAACGAAAAGAAACAACAGCTGAGTTAGAATAATCACATGCAAAGTAATCTCATCTCACTTTCTTGTGCACGCAATATTTCTGCTCTTTCTTTTTCCAACTTTCTTTTCTGTGACTCAATAAAACTTGCTAGATCGTCCGCCATTGCATAGAATTGTTTATAAGGCCAGCAATCGAACGGAAAATAACGATGAATATGAGACGTTCAACAATATGTTGTCAAGTGGACACGATGGTTCGAGCAGGCCTTTCGCACTTTATATCGCATCCCCGAAATGATACTGATAAATCTCCAGACCTCCAATAACCAAATATCCAAACATTTGCTGTAGATTAGCGTAAGAAACCACTTTCAAAACTTGTCAGCAAAATAACATTCCAAAATTGTTTTGGGTGATCCGCCATGTTTTTGGTAACCAATACCCATAACGCCCTTTGGTACATGAAAAAAGCCTATTTTTGATTGGTTAGGATCAGGCGAGACACAACCCAATCAAAAAGGATTTTGCATTTTGCGGTTGTGAGAGTCTCGTGACTTCCCAGTTTGCATTTTTTTCTATTATCCGGCCGTGTCACGAGACATCGTATTGGAAAGGGTACTTTTCCGAGGTGAAATTCAGTGTGCGAACAACAGGCATTTGATTTGTGATGGATTTTTACAAGGATAAAGCCAAGCTCCTGGAGGAAGGTCCTACTTCCACAGAAGAGGATGACGAAGCTCTGGTGACTTTAAAACGAGAACGTCATATGCACAGCAAGTTTTTTGCCTGCCATGTTGTTGTTTTGGTACTTGTGCTAGTACTGGGAATGTGTTTGTTTGCGCGTGTAGCTTACTATGGTTTTCAAACCACGGGATATGATCAGCAGTCACTGAACGGAGGTTTGTTTATCCTTATATTGGGCCATTCCATTAATTGTCCGCCCCCCCCCCTTTATTGAAGGTACTTTTTACTCAGAGATGCCAGTCACCCTCGGTTCTTTAATCCCGCCATCACTACCAAAATTTTCCCTTTATCTCGAAATCCCGAACGTTTTCATCGGCCAAATCCCGATCCTGGTCACATCATTTTCCATGGTCCACCTTATCAGTACCCTGCGAGCAGAGTCGCTTCGTTCGATCTTTCCTATATGAGTCGGGAAGGAGGAAGCGACTCTGCCAACATCTTCAAGTTCCTTTGATCTGTAGCCTCCCACACAGACGTTCTTAGGGGTTTGTCACGCGTTCCTGCCCCACGAACGTCTACTGAACCGAAAGATAAACTGGCAAATATCAGCTGGTGATCACATGCAGATTATCGGAGATCCAATCGGCGCTGTTGAAGTCAAAGTGTTGACAAGCCAAACACATCCGCACAAGCTCCGTAGAGTGTGATGCGTGACCAAAGATTTTTGCTCCGGACGAAAATCTAGGAGATAACAGGCCCGTAACCAGGGGGGGTGCACGGGGTGCATTCGCACCCCCCCACAGGCCTCAAAGGTCCGCATTTTGATACTCAATATCCTGTTTAAGGAGTGCAGTCGGTTAAACTGAAGTTTCAAACTTAACAGTGATATTTAACAAAATCAAAGAATGGAAAAAGCAGTAGTGTATTCACTGGGAAAATAAAACCAGCTGCACTCTAGTAGCCTGAGCCATTCAGAACATTTCAATGAGGGCACAGATGTCCCAGCGTATCTATATGAAAGATGAAATTAACGTGCGCACACTTTTGCACAGGCCAAATACAGCAGCCAAAGCTCTTAATTATAAGGAGTGCGATGATGATCTCTTTCCAAAGAGGGTCTAGAAGAGGGATAGGCGTAAAGCGGCCAAAAATTTAGTCGATAGCCGTAAAAATTGAAAAATTTTAACCGTTAGCTGTAAATAGGGTAAAAAAGAGTTAACCGTAAAAGAAATTGTTTCCTAGATTTGTTTATTTTAAGGAAGGTGCTAAACTCGCTTATGGTTGCTTTTTTTATTTCCCGGCTACCTTTGACTCCGTATGCACGTTAGGCCAAGCGCCTTTTAGGTGTTGACCTAGACCTAGGCTCCATTTCCGCCGCTCTCTCAAATAATCAAGTTTTTTTCCATAGCAAAAATCTGGCTTCTTGCTGGCGATTACTATTTGTGATTTTCAGGAGGTCATGCCCTC